TTCATTTATTATGCAAAGGCATTTGACTGTGTGGATCATAACAAACTGTGGCTGACTCTGAGAAGAATGGGAATCCCAGAACACTTGATCGTGCTAATGAGAAACCTATACTTGGACCAAAAGGCAGTCATCAGAACAGAGCAAGGAAACACTACATGGTTCAAAATTGGGAAAGGTGTATGCCAGGGATGTGTCCTATCACCATACCTTTTCAACCTGTATGCAGAGCAGATTATCCGAGAGGCTGGGGTCTCTGAGGAGAAGTGTGGTGTCAGGATGGGTGGAAGATCTATTAACAATCTGCGTTATGCAGATGACACAACCCTGCTTGCTGAAACGGAGGAGGACCTGAAATGCTTGCTGTAGAGGGTCAAGGACTGCAGCCTTCAGTATGGATTGAGTCTCAATTTCAATAAGACAAAGATTCTCACCACTGGACCAATTGGCAGCATCAGAATGGATGCTGGAGAGATTGAGATTGTTAACAACTTTAGTCTGCTTGTCTCCACGGTCAACACTCTTGGTACCAGTAGCTAGGAAATCCAAAATGTATTGCGATGGAAAAGTCTGCTGTTAGGGACCTCTCCAGGGTACTGAAGAGCAATGGTGTCACTGTGGAGACTAAGGTGCGTCTCCTATAGGCTATGGTCTTTGCTAACACTTGCTATGCATCAGAGAGTTGGACAATGACTAAGGAGGATAGAAGAATTGATGCCTTTGAGCTGTGGTGCTGGAGAAGAGTATTGAATGTACCCTGGACTGCCAAGAAAATAAACAGATTCATCCTGAAGAGGGTTAAACCAGGCTGCTCCTTGGAGACAAGGATTCTGAGGCTTCGTCTGACATACTTTGGACATGTTATAAGGAGGGAGAGGTCCTTGGAGAGGGACATCATGCTTGGTAGGGTGGGGGGATGGCGCAGAAGGGGAAGACCCTCTATGAAGTGGATTGATTCAGTGACTGGGGTAATTGGGATGGGTGTGTCAGAGGCAGTGAGATTGGCAAAGGATAGAGCAAGGTTTAGGGCTGTTGTACATAGGGTCGCTATGAGTCTCAATAGACTCGACGGCACATAACAACAACAACATACTTAATGACATATTCAGTCATATTTCTATGGCCTGAAAGAAACATATAATCCAAATTGTTCACATAATTCTATTTGACTTTGGTTTATAAAAGTAAAAAAAGAATTTCTGATAAGATGGAACAGGAAGTTGTGGTGAATATTCCTGCAAAGGGACCAACCTCAGGAGGTTGTAATAGTAAAGTCTAAATGGAAAAGCATGTATAAATCATGTGCTTTCCAAACTGACTATACATAAAAGTTCCCTAAGGAATTTTTTGCCAATTCTGAATGTCACCCACTTGTTAGCAAAGCTCCTTTTATTATGTACATATAGTATTAACATCTTAAAAGCAAAGTACCTTCTAAAAATCAGTTTGTAGTTTTCATCATTTACACTTCTATGCCCTATCAATCTGGTCTACATGACTTTATCTGGTTCTCTATCCCTTTTGTAATGTCTATTGTGCAAGTGTCCTTTCTGTGTCAAGTGAATATCCTTGTGTCTGATAAGATGAAGCTATGAGGCTGCCACTCATATCAAAAGGTCTCTTATCCAAGAAACCAGAAAACCAAATATATGGATGTTCCTCTTCCCCCTTTTTAAATTACATTGATATAAATGGAACTTTAGTAGTGTTGTTATTGTTAGGTACCATCCAGTTGAGTACGACTCATAAACAACTCTGTGAACAATGTGAACCCTGTCCTATCCTGTGTCATTCTTACAATCACCAACATTCTCAAACCCATTGCTGCAGTCACTATGTTGATCTACCTAGTTGAAAGTCTTCTTCTCCACTTTTGCAAGCATGATGTCTCTCTCTAAGGAGAAACCTCTTCTAGAAACATGCCCAAAGTATGTGAGAGGAAGCATCATCATCTTTGCCTTGAAGGAACATTCTAGCTGCACCTTCTATGAGACCTATCGCTGAGTTCTTTAGGCAGTCCATGGATATTTAGCACTCTTCTCCAACACCACATTCAAAGGCATCAATTTTTCTTCTATCATCCTTGTTCATTGTCCAGCTCTCAGATACATAAGCAAGTGAATAAAAAGACCATATCCTGAATCAGGGACACCTTAGTCCTCAAACTGTCATCATTGCTCCTCAATAATTTGAACAGGTTCCTGACTACAGACTTTACCACTGCAATGTATCTCTGGATTTCCTGATGAAGTGTATTGACTGTGGATCCAAGTAAGATGAATTTGTTGACAATTTCAATCTTTTCTCCATCTACCATGATGTTGCCTAGCAGTCTAGAGGCTAGGATTTTTATCTTTTTAATGCTGAGATGCAATCTTTCTGTAAAATGTAACCATCAGAAATTTCAGATTTAGCTGGCCTCATGACTGTCTGATTATCTCTTTTAGCTTTTTCCTTTTCTACAGCATGTTCATCATTGTTAATTGCTGTTGAGTCATAGGTGACTCATAGCAACCCTATAAACGAAAGACCTGAACAATTATATAACTCTCATCATTTCTCCAAGTTCATAAAGTTTCCAGAGGCAAGCTATTTCAGAAGTGGATGTCACTCCTGCTTCGAAGCTTGCTTTAATCAAGGAGCTCTGCCAAACACTGGCCACCATGGGTAGCCATTATCGCATTTAACACATCAGTGTCACAGTGTTCAGCATCACAGCCACCACGAGTTAGTTAGAGTTAGTTCAGTAGAGCAAATGACAGACCAGTGCTATATACCACTTAGAACGTTTGACCAGAAACAACTAAAACCAGACCCAAGAGACACAGGCAAGAAGGCCCAAATTTCTTTTCCAATTGGAGGCCGAATACAATTAACTCACATTCAATGACGAGTAAACATTCTACCCTCATCCTCACCAGAATCAGAAAACCAGAATTGAATACAACTGCTCCAGATGACTTCCAAACCTGGATTCCAGACCCATACTGGTGATGAAATGCTTTTTTAGATGTTGTTGAATGCTGTCGAGTTGAGCACAGCTCATAGTGACCTTATGAACAAAAGGCCTGAAGCCTTCCTATACCTATCATCAGTTTCTCCAAGTTCAAAGAGTTTCCAGAGGCATGTGGTTTAGGAAGTGGATGTCACTCCTGCTTCCAAATCTGTGTTAAAGTGGGAGCTCAAAAAAATACTGTCCACCTTGGGTAGCCATTATAGTATTTATCCCCCAATGGCACAAGGTTCTGCTGAAAACCCATCACAGAAAACCCAGATTATCTCATTGCAGCAAATGGACAGAGGAGTGCTGGGAAATTTTGAGGAATAGCCAGTTGGCCTATTGGTGAGAATGTTTGTTTTCTTTTTTCTTTGTTAATTTTTTAATTATTATTTTGTATGTGTCTGTCTGTGTACTGTAGATCAGATCTGACTGGTACAGGAGGAGATTATCCCTCCTTTCCTGGCAGAGCATCTGGTGGATTCGAACCACGCACCTCTGGGATTGCAGTCCAGTTTCTTGCCACTAGGCCACCAGAGCTCCCCAGAATGTTTGTTTTCTTGATGTTCAGCTTCAATTTATATTAGAGACTGCAAGTCCTTGATCTTCTGTAGCAAGCCCTTCAGGTCCTCCCGGTTTCAGCAAGTAATGTTGTGTCATCTGCACAACACAGGTTGTTGATGAATCTTCCTTCAATCCTAATGCCACAAAACTCATAAAAACCAGCCTCCTAAATAATCTGTTCTGCATGTAGATTAAAAGTTATGGAGACAGGTTACATCGCCGACACACTTCTTTCCTGGTTTTGAGCCATGCGGTGTTTCCTTGCTTTGTTCTGGTATTGGCTATGATGTCCCTAGTGTCACAACTTCTTCTAAACCCAGTTTTCACTTCTGGTAGTTCTCTATCAATGTACTGTTCCAGTCACTTTTGGATAATCTTCATCAGGATTTTGCTTGCATGTCATAATCAACATGCTCGAGTGAACTAATTTTTCTTCAATCTTTCAGTAACTGGTTTCTAGTATTTTCCCCTAAAATAAAGCAAATAACAGCTTCTCTCCTCTTCAGAGAAGAACTCTCTCTGACATACTCTGGTTTTAAGGGATAAATAAGTGCAGATATTGGGACCTGATATACCATACAGGGCCCAAAACATACTTCTATATCAGCAGGCTTTACCACCATTCCTGTGCAGTCCACATTTTCATTTTTTTTTCTTGTTTCTTTTGTCTCTCACAACACAGCACCACACACACACACACTACATTATTAAAAATCAAACTAAATAGGATTGAACAAGCTTAGAAAAACTGAAGCAATAATAATCTAATAAGATGAAAACATCAAGATCTTTTAGAAGAGAACATAAAAAAGTCTGTGATTATCATACAGAAGAACAAGAGTCCTTCTCTACTGAGCTCCTCCCAGTGTGAAAAATATGCTTGGAATAATTTAAAAATATTTCCCCACATCAGATAAAAGTAGAAAAATTTTCACTAAAAGTTGCCATTCACCCATATTTTGAAGTTATTTTATCAGCTGTACATTCCAAAATTCAAGAATAAGATCGGTAATTATGAAGAGGCATACAGGGGACAAGCTTAAGATAATTGAAGGTACATCAGGGCAAGGTACAGGGGAATATTACAGTATGTAGTTTTATGCATCCAAAAGGAAATACAGTGGCTAGGAACATAAAGTATATAGGTGATAGGGTGGAGAAGGACAGCATATCTGCATCTTTTAGTTTATTTGATTTTACACTGCCATTTTACTTTAAAATGATCCCTTTCTTATTTATAAAGAAAGAAAATAAAACGGGAGCATGTCTGGTGGTTTATATAGATATGAATTAACATCCTAAGGAAAGAGAGTGGATACTGCCAAATACACCCTTCACTATAATTTTATTTTTCCCTGAAGGAGAATTGGCCTTAATGATCTTCTGCATACTAGAGGATATTAGAAGAGATCATGTCACTGAAACATTGAATACTAAATGGCTGCTTCAAACTCTCTTGCTATCTAAAGCCAAGAATTAAGCAGCTTCTTATGTTCCCCTTTGTTAGCTCTCTATCAACTGTCAAGTTTCAAATTTCTCTTTTCTCTCAAGGTTCTCTTATCTATTACTAACTTATCTTCTTCAAATACCTAACTACATTAAAGTCTAAAGACAGAGGCAAAGAAATAGACTATTCATGAGGAGTTGTAACTCAGCTATGGTTAATCCTACCTGCTATAGGAATGACACTAGACCATCACAGGCCCATGATTGCAGGAGACTCACAGGGGATAGTCACAAGGAAGCCATTCATATTTTAAATTATAAAAACCAGATACAGAAAAGATAAGCAAACAAGCAAGGGAAGTACAAGCTTGTTGCAATCTTACCTCCCAGGCATTGTTGAAAAGTTTGCCATCACTTTGAAAGCAGCCATTACTTTTCTGTTTGTTGGAAAGCCAGATCAAAGTTTGTTTTTGAACTTGTTCATCAATGTAAATATGTTTCTTCATTCCCCCAAACGTTTTAAATGTAAAAGTTGTAAGCCTGTAATGTAAGTCACTAGAGTAAAACTTGGGTGAGAAAGAAAAAGAAGCTATGCAACAAGTTTTCTCTTTGGGGAATTGGATAAATCCTACTTATTCAAAGCTGACTTTATCCAGTTTTTATTGATATTATTTCTTTCTTTGGGGTCAATAAAATATTCTGAATAGCAAAACGTAAATTAGAACAGGTAACAGTCAACTGTGTACACATGAAGTTTTTCCTATATAACCCATAGATTATTTATATTTGATAACATGATAGTTGTTATGTGCTGTCAAGCTATAGTGACCCTATGAATAATGGCTCTGAACCTTGCACTACCCTGAGGCAACTTCACCATTTCTAACACACATCTGATCCCATTGCCATAGTAACTGTGTCTGTCATTCTATCTCATCCACGCCCTTCCTCTCTTGCGCTGTCCCTCTACCCTTCCCAGCTTGATGTTATTCTCCAAGGACTGCCCTCTACTGACAACATACTTAAAGTGTATGAGATAGAGTTTCACAATAATTGCCTTCAAGAAGCGTTCTAGTGGGGGAGCTTTGGTGGCCTAGTGGCAAGAAGCTGCAACTACAATCCCAGAGGTGCACGGTCCGAATCCACCAGATGCTCTGCTGGGGAAGGAGGGGCAATCTCCTCCTGTATCAGTCAGATCTGATTTGACGGTACATGCACACAAAAAATAAAAAAAATTTAAAAAAAAAAAAAAGCATTCTAGTTTCACTCTCTCCAGTACAGATGTTTATTCTTTTTGGAAATCCATTCCCTTTGCCCAACTCATTTTTTGAGGCTTTGTTTCTATATCCTTATTATGATTGGAAAATTTATTAGGATATTTTTACATTAATGTATATGGGTGAAAACCCCCATCCTCAGCTGTATTCCTTCAACATTCTGACTTGACCACTAGAAAACATTCCCTTATATACTAACCAGATAATGAGAGGAAGTGCAAGCCTTTTGTGAAAATAATTTTTTAAAGCATTAATCTGGGTATAATGAAAACGTTTACGTGCAATCAAAGATTCAGAAAAATCTTTTACAAAAGTCATGTTACTTCAAAATCCCCAGAGAACTTGGTCTTCCTCTCTTCCTGTTAAAATTTCCCTAGGGAACTCCTACCATCATTTAAAATTTTCCTCTCTTACCAAATATTTCCTTCCTGATTCTTCTGCCAAAACACACCATATGATCCATCATAGTTTTTGAAAGCCAACTGTTTTTGATAGCCTAAAATACAATATTGAAGTAAATTACTTTTTAACTCAAGAAAGTCAAAAGGAAAAGAATGGCGTAATGAATTCTTGAGGAATCAGTTACTAGACAGATCATTTACATTTCTAAAACTTAAGTTCTTTTTTTTAAATTTTTTTAATATAATTTTTTATTATTATTATTATTAAATTTTATTAGTTTTAATGAACATTTACAGAGATTTTGGGTTTTCATTCATTCATTGTTGCACTGTAAAACTTAAGTTCTGTATCTACAAATGTGAAAATATTAAGTCAGGCATTATGGGATTTTTTATAATAAATGAGATATACCATGTGCTTTCCTGGTTCAAAAGCTGGTTCTTAATTGGTAAGTACTAATTGCTTAACAACTTTTCCCTTCAGGTTACTTTACTTCATTGTTAACTTTCCTAAAAGAAAGCCCAACAAAATTATTGATAAACTTTGCCCTTAAGATCACATTTTACAAAATGTATATATACTCTTCATTTACATACAAAACAAATACTTTTATTCCAAAGAAACACAATTGCATAGACCAATATGATATTGTTGTGATAGGTGTCATAGAGTCGAGTCTGACTCATGGTGACCCTATGAACGAAAGATCTGGACCATATTCTATCCTGTGCTATCCTCACACATCTTGACACAATGAAAGCCCATGGGAGCAGTCACTGTGTCAATCCACCTGGTTAGGGTTTTCCTCTCCTTTGTTGACCTTCCAACCTTCCCATCATCATGTCCTTCTCCAAGGAATAGCCCCTCAGCAAATGCACAAAGTATATGAGGCGAAGCTCACAAACAAATATAGCAAATAATAATTAACCATCTATAACTAATATTGATATAATGATAAAGAGAGTAGCTTGGAAAAATATTGAGTTATTTTTTTAAAAGAATTTTTCATTTGAAGCATTTCCTTTCTAAATTATAAAGGTAAATATTTGGACAATGACTGTGCAGATGTTGGAAACATTTAAGTAAGAAAGAAAACATAACTAAGACTTAGAATATCTCAGTTAATATCTACTTTTCCTCATAAGATACTCTTCAAATTATAGCTTTATCATATCTTGGTTTTAACAATAACCATTTTGTGGAAGCTACTTATCTCACCATTAGATAAGAAAAAGGTGGCTTTAGATTTAACTTCTTCTGTCAACTGCCCAGTGGATTTCAGATAGTCAAGAACATAGGTGTCAGATGCTAGTAGAGCAATATTCTGCTCTCCACATCCATGGGGCATTTGGAGAAGATTCTCCATGTTTTGTATTGCCAGTCCAAGAATATCCCCTAAAATTGAAAAAGAATAGAAACAAACAAACAAAAAAAATCAGAATTGCTTAAATCATCATCTCAACATTTAGTAACTACAGATAAAGAGACATATTGAAAGTTAAGAAAACAATTTAAATTTAATTCAAAAAAGCTTTAAAGAAGTAAGGGGCTGTACTGCCAAACCAAAGGCAAATGGTTTCCATCCACTAGACGCTCCATGGGGGAAAAATGGACAATCAAGTCCAGTGAGATTTGCAACCTTTATAAATCCACTGAAGGTCAGGTACAAGCCAGTTTCAAGTTGAGAGCACATAGCAACAACAAACAAAAAGATAGTCATAAATGATAAATGGCTTCTGGTATGAAAACATTTCTGAGAAGTTCAGATTCTCATTAGTATGATGAAGGGGTAGGAAGAGTGTTTGATAGTTTAGTTGCTTGCTTTTGGAAAAGCTGAAAAGCTGGCCAGATGAATATTGTAATATATTACTTCCCAAAAGTTGTTAATGTCAATTATAAACATGATGAACTTTGACTTTTGAAAAAAAATCTTTTACTAAGGAAATTCTGAAATCTTTGGCAGGCAAAGTTCTGATTCCTCAAGAGGGTAATGCAATGTTTTAACTTTTTGAGCTATAATGGAATTATGAGTTTCTGAATTCCAGAAATTTCTCCTCTGCCAGAACTAATGTTTTATAACAATACCAGTTTGGAAACAATATTTAAATCCCTCTAGGTTTAGTATAAAGTAAAATAAAGGAGTTGTTATTTGAAGAAACAATTTATAAAAGCCACCTCTACCAAGTTTTCCAATAATTTTGAAACAAAATTTACTCAACTTACCCACAACAGTGAAAAAGGCCCTGGCAGATCCTTCGACTACATTGTTAGGCAAGTCCAAAACTATCTGTCTGGAGGCTTTATCACCTGAAAAGAAAACAGTCAAGTGTCAAAAAATAACATGTCAACTTTCTTTTAAAAACAGTAGCAGCAGATTTAGAAGACAAAAGTGTTAAGATTCAGATTCTATAATTTATTTTTACTTTGTATGTTCCTTATCAGAAGATATTAAATTGAAGTTTAGAGTGAGCTCACAATAGGAATACACTTAAAAATGATAACTCAATGATATATTAGACAATAGCTTCATTTTCAAATAATTTACAATGAAAATTATTAATGTCTCAGTAGTTAACCTAAAGGCTGGATGTTTGAGCCCATCCAGAGGCACCTCAGAAGAAAGTGTTGGTAATCCATTTAAATAAAAAATCAGGACTAGAATCCCCAAAAGAAATGGTGGATTATAGGTGGACTCATAGAAATAAGAACTACAGGGAGGAAAGGGGAACAACATGATAACACTTCAAATCTTGAAACTAGTATTTTTGAACAAAATGTATATGCATGGTGAATGGAAAATCAATTTGCCAAGTAATTCTTTACCCAAATAACAGTATACAAAAATAAATAAACGCTAAAATAAAACCCAAAGAAACCTCCAAACCTAGAGAATACAAATGTACTGTGGTATACATAGGGTCATGATAACTGGAACTCAATTTATCAACAACTGGTCTTTTAAAAACTATTGATAAGACATTAAAATCTACTCACTATAAATGGTGGCTAAGAGACCTCTGGTAGCTTACTAATAAAGAGTTGCCCTGCCAACCCAATGGTACACAGTTCAAATGTACCAATTACTCCATGAGTAATTGATGAGCAATCTCCTTACATGAGATTTACTACCTCTGAAAACCCACTGGAGGATCAGCTAGCTATGGGTCTGTTCTGACTGGATGTTATGTAACAGCAATATAATATAGTAGGCATGAAAGAAAGAAAAAAAAATGTGAAGACTTCTGTTGGAATCAGATTACCATCATGACAATTCTTTTCTTTTTTTTCTTTTTTTTAGTGTGTGTGTATCATGATGGTCATACATAAAGCAGGAGTTTGAGAGACAGTGATTTATCTAAGGGCTGTCTGGCCCTAAGGGTATAATCAATCAATTAATTAATCAATCAAATAAACTAGAACCTTTGTCCTCAAGTCAATTCTGACCCATGGCAATCCCTGGCCTTTTTTATCAGTGCTCAAAAAGTGGCTTCCAAAAGTCAACTTTCTGCCTAGTGTTTAAGTACAAAAATTTTAGGCCATTGGGATCTTAAGAACACAAGAAAATAACACTCATAATTCTGATGTCTCACTACTTAACACTGTAACAAGAGAAATCAAGAATATACAGATAGGGAAAAATGGGCTAAAACAGACCAAAGTTACAGTTGACTTGAAAAAAAAAATCTCATAAATATCCCTTTTTGACTGAAATGACACATGAAATTAGGGCATGGAATAAGTAATCCTCCATAAAGAATAGAGAATAAATCACTAGGTAGATGTTATGTTACTCAAACTAATATGCAAGAAGAGGAAATAAATTTACTCTGCTGTTATATTTTCCTTAGAACTCTTTTGAACATCTCAACAATCCTCTTACCTTTTGTACAGATAAGAAAACTTTGAGTCATTTCTTTTTCAATACCTTCAGGCTGTCAATGAGAAAACAAAGACATACAGTAAATATTGAGAATGCATCATCTTTCCATAAAGGAAAAATCACAGAGCCTCAGTGCATACAGATATGGCTGGTATATATTTGGATCAGGGAGATGTCCAATTCATTGCACCCTTCTGTTTATATTTACATGTCCCTGTTTATTATCAGCACCCATTTAATGAGATGGGACACTTTCTGTTCCACTGATCCTTTGTAGAATCTCGGTGGACAAATAAATATTTTTAAGAGTAAGAATGTTAAAAAAAAGAGTAAGAATGTACAAGATACTAGAGGAGAATATTCCTTTGATAATCATTAATATTTTTAATAACAATGAAGATTACACAAGAATCATTATATTAGATTTGAGAATCAGTTTAAGCAAGAAGAGGGGAAGGGAGAGAAGTCTGGGCACAGGAAATATCAAAATCCAGGTTCAAATGAAAATTTATCAATATTTGCTACAAGTATTAATTCTATTATCTTATTAATTTAACAAAAATGAAATCAGCTGCTTTTTCAATGAATTTTATATTACTTGCCCTTCAGGAAGGGGTAGGATAAAATAATAGAAATTAGAATTACAGAAGGAAGTGGGGAAAGTGTGATTTTTTTTACATAAGGTTTGTACGTTTGACTACATAAGGTATTGTAACTTAATTGTAACTTTATTGTCATCAAATAAAATGTGTATGAGTGATCAAATGAAAAACAAATGCTTTCTAATCTTACACTGAAATCAGTTTTTAAAAAGTCACAAAATGTCTTGAATCAAAAGTATGACATATTATTCTCAATAAGAAGTGCTTTAATATTTGACCTGTTATATATGCTTCCTTACCAAGAAGAGCTTGATATTTCTGCACATACATACCTCTACCAGTAAACTCTTCACGACGGTATCTTTCCATCTTACATTGTGTTGCTCAGGTGCTTGATTAGCGCAACCGCTACTTTGTTTGGATTCACCAACTACAGTAATGTTCACTTCACCTGAAAAAGTCCCCAAATAAAAGTGAAATAGACCTTTGTCCTGTCTATAACGGGAAATGATTAGAATTTGTGAGCTACTTCTTAAATTTGTTGAGCTGTATAGGATAAGTGCAAAAGAGGAAGACCCGGGATGAGGTGGATTGACGTAGTAACTACGGTGATGGGATAAGTGTGTCAGAGATGGTGAGACTGTCTCAGGATAGGACAAGGGCCAGAGCTATTGTGCATAGGGTCTTTACAAGTCGTTGTCGATTTGACGGCACATAACAACAACATAAGGTAAGGAGGGACCTCTGGAGGCTTAGGGTAAGGAAGGGTGAAAACAAGTTTCTCCTTGGAGGCAAGGGTTTTGAAGCTTCATCTTGTATACTTTGGGCAAGTGACCAGGAGGGACCAGTCCTCGGAGAAGGACATGTTTGGAAGGGTGGAAGGATAGCATAGGAGAGAAAGATCCCGGATAAGATAGATTGACACACTACTTGGGGCAATGGAATTAGTTTGTGATGGAGTCAGTGAGACTGGCTCAGAATAGAGCAGAGTGAGAGGGAGGGGCTTAAACATAGGGTCACACAATTTGATGGGTGCAGGGAGAGGTAGGTAAAGGAAAGGTAAAAGGTCCAGAGTGAAATATAATGTATATGAACTTTATGAACTTTGTATGTAAACCAGTATAAAATTAAAAAAAAAAAAGATCAGAGCAGGGTTCACAGCTATTGTACATAGGGTCTCTATGAGTCACAGGCAACTCGATGGCATATAACAAGAACAATCCAAAGGGACATGGTTGAATCTATCAGCTGCTTTTCAGTAGAAAGACGGGCAGTCTCCTCTGAAGCAAATTACAGTGTCTGAAAATCCACAGGAGAGTCAATTTTGTTGTTGTGTTCCTGCTGTTATATATTATTGAGTCGGATCCAAATAGCATATAACATAAACAACAAATTCTATCATATTGAGGCTTGGACCAAAACAAGTTATTCTGTCTCCTATAAAGAGATAGTTTTGGTATGTCTCATTATGCCAGTTTCAAGATTGTTGTTGTTGATTGCCTTCCAGCTGAACACGACTCATAGTGACCCTATGAAGAAAAGGCCTGAAGGCTTTCTATAACTATCGACATTTATCAAAGTTCATAGTTTCCAGAGGCATGTTATTTAGGAAGTAGGTACCACTCCTGCTTACATATATTAAGTGATTAATTTATTTAATTCGAAGAAATATTAAATAAAAAATTATTTTCTGCAAAGGCATCTAATGCAATGTCTTAATGTAGCATGCGACAACATGAGTACATGCCATCATATGACTAGAAGCCTAACTTTGTTTAAAGTCAACAAACAAAACAGTAAGATATGATACACTGGAAAGGGCACTGACATCAGTGCTAATGAGAAATCAGTTGCTTTATATCCTTATGATATCACAGTTTGTAATTAAGGCTGATCTTAAGTTTCATTTCTTATGACAATTAAGATCCCAAAAGTTAATTCTTTATATTCAACATTACTTACCTTATTAATACATTATTAATGTGTATATTATTTTTAAGTTTTTCTGTTTCTTATCTACTTAATTGCAGAAAACTATTCAAGTTGTGTAGTATCCCCTATGAATTGCTAGTGTAATATTTTTGAAAACCTCATTTGAGAAACTTAAAATCTGAATAGGATGAGTTTTAGCCATATTATGCTGAGTTGTGTTTACAGAAGAATAAGTGGTGTTTTGTTTTGTTGTTGGGTTGTGTTTTTTTGTTTTGTTTTTTATTTCACTTATAGGAGACTCTTGGAATAGGAAAATGTCTAAGAATGAGCATATACTACTGGTCATTAGGATCAGAAGGAAGATGGAAGAGAAATAGTTTTTCAGAAATCATTGAGTATCTTTTTTATGGTGATAGAAAACTTGTCAAGAGCAGCAGTTGGCTCAAGTGTATCAGAGATGGTGAGGATGGCCAGAATAGCAGGATTCAGATCTGTTGTTCATTTGTTCGTAAGGTCTTCATGAGTCATACTCTACTTGGTGGCATCTAATATTGATGATTGTTGTGCAATTGAAGACACTGAATTGTGTTTGTAAAATATGATTAACTGTCAAACATATTATCTATATTTGGAAACCTAAAGGAAGGTCAATATAAGTTAGAACAAACTCAAATAAAAAAACCCAAACAAACCAACCCAAATCACAAAAATTTAGCAGTAAAATAGACTGAAGCCAACCACTACCACTAAAGAACCAAAATAATTAGTACACTCTTTTTTTAATTTTTTACTATAGGAATAAAGTATAATTTTATGATATTTTAGAAAAGAATTGTTGCTTATTAGTATTGTGTGTCTGTGTATTTAGCATCATTTATTTGTCTTAACTTTCCTTTCCTCCAAATTTTTAACTAAGTATTTTCAAATTTATTTTTCTATATTGCATTGAGATAATACTTTTCATGGTGCTTGAGCTCTTTCTAAGTTTTTAATATTATGAAATAGCTGATCATAATGTGGAATGACACTTGTCATTCATGCAATAATAGTTGAATAAAAAAGTAAAAATTGGAGAAATTAAAATGAAAGCTGGACCACAAAGGCATCATTCATGAAAATTTAACCTGACAAACTGATTCTAGGGACCTCCTTCAAGTTGGATTGATACAATGACTGCAGCAATGGGCTCAAGTGTATCAGGCATGATGGAAAAGAAACAGGATTGCTATGAAACATACTTGACTCAATGACATCTATCAAATATGACAGCATGGCATATTGTATTCAATTATACTATGTTTTTATGCCAATTAATGGTGATTTTTGTTGTGTTAGAGAATTAGATTTTAGGTAAGATTCCATTTTTAAATTCAAAGTAAAGAAAAAATAAAGACAAAAATGTAAGGGAGAAAATTCAGTTTGTATAAAAGATGAAAGGAAAAGAAAAAGAAGCAGTAAAAAAGTGAACAGTTACTTAGTGAGAGTTTAGTGTAAACAAGTAGCTCCTTACCCAGTTTTTTAGGTAGAAGAGTCCACACATATGTCTTCCTCTCTCCAGCTTGGATAATCTCACCATTCTTGCTTTGCAGAGTGTTACTCCCTGCCTCATAATCTTCAGATGGTTCTAGTCGAACAGAAATCTGAAAGAACAATCATAGAACTTTGAACAATACATTATTGTTACTCTTTTTTCTTGAGAAAAATATGTTTTATCTCACCTAATTGTGGAGAAAATTGAAAGATACCAAGTAATTATGAAATTTCCAGTCTGAAAAACCAAAATACTTGCTATGGAGTAGGTTGAAGCTCTGGTAGCATAATTCAAGTGTATTTTGCTGTTAAGGAAAATGTCAATCATCTGCGGTGATTTGAATTCAGCAATTCAACCCATTAAGATTTATATCCTTGGATATCCATTGGAAGTTCTCTAGGAGCTAAAACCAACTTGGCAACATGAGAGAGAGAAAAAGATGGAGTTGGTTATAATTCACTAAAGTCTCATGTGTGACAGAGTAGATCTGTGCTCTATAGTTTTCAATGGTGCATTTTCTGAAGCAGATCACCAGGCCTTTTTTTCCTGAAGCACCTCTGGGTTAAATCTTAACAGTAAACAAATCAATAAACTGTAGCACCCAGAGAATTTTCAATGTGAATCAAAGCTGTATGTTAATCATTGATGAAAAAGAAAACAATTGTTTTTGTGTGAGGTATATGGAAACATGTCTTATTTTATTATAGTTGTTGTTGTTGTCATTAGGTGCCATATAGTTGAGTACAACTCACAGTGACCCTATAAACAACAGTATTGAACCCTGCCCTATCCTGAGCCATCCTTATAATTTCTGACATACTTGAACCATTGTAATAGTCATTGTGTCAATTCATGTGTTTGGGGGTCTTCCTATCTTTTGCCAACCCTCTACTTTTCCAAGCATGATATCTTTCTCCAAGGAATAGCCTCTCCTAGAAGGATGCTCAAAATATGTAAGATGAAGCTTTGTCCTCTTTGCCTCCAAGGAACCCTGTGGATGCACTTTCTTCAAGAAATATCTATTTCTTCTTTTGGCAGCCCTGGGGATATTCAGCATTCTTTTCCAAGACCCCAACTCAAAGGTATGAATTCTTTTATCTCCCTTATTCATTGTCCAGCTGCTCTCAGATGCATAGCAAGTGACTGAAAAGATCATAGGCTGAATTAGGCATACTTTAGTACTCAAATGGACACCATTACTCCTCAGTAATTTGGGTCCCTGCCTATAGACAAATGCATTCCTAATGCATTTCCTGATTTCTTGACTCCTGGTACCAAATGTGTTGATTATAACATGAAGTCATTGACAATTTAAATCTTTTTTTCCATCTACCATGATGTTGCTTGTCAGTCCAGTGGTGAGAATTTTTTTATGTTGAAATGTAGTCAGTATTGAAGGCTGTAGTCTCTGATTACCTGCAGTAAGTACTTCAAGTCCTCCTCACTTTCATAAAGTAAGGTTGTATCATCTGCATATTTCAGGTTTTTGTTTTTCCAAACCTGATGTGATATTCTGCTTTATAGAGCCCAGCTTCTCAAATAATTTGTTTAGCATACAAATTGAATAGGTCTGAAGAAAGGATCTAGAACCCCTGAAGAACAACTTTCTTAATTTTAAATCATGTTGTGTTCCTTTGCTCTGTTTATACAATTTCTTGATCTAGGTATAGGTTTTGCATAAGTACATTTAATTGTTCTGGGATTCCCATTCTTCCCAATGTTAGCCATAATTTGTTATGATCCACATAGTCAAATGCTTTAGCATAGTTAATAAAGCACAAATAGACATTCTTCTGCCATACTTTTTTTTTTAGCTAGGATGTATCTGACATGAGCAATGATATCCCTGGTGCTGTAGCCTCTTCTCAACCCAATTTGAACTTCTGGAAGTTCTCTGTCAATTTACTATTCTACCTGTTTTTTGGGTGAGCTTCAGAAAAATTTTGTTTCAATGCAGTATTAATAAAATTTTTCAATAATTCCAACTTTCTGTTGAATTTTGTTTCTTGGGAATGGGGACAAATATTAATCTCTTCCAGTCAGTTAGCCAGACAGCTAACTACAGTCCTTCAAATATTGGGGATAAACTATTAAGCACAGCCAGGAGCATCTGCTAGCTGAAACATATAGATTGCTATTCCATTGATCATTTGGGCCTTCTTTTTTTTGTTTTGCCAGTGACTTCAGTGCAGTTTGAACTTCTTCCTTCATTATCATTGACTCTTAATCATATAATACTGCATTTGGAAATATACAAGAATATAGCAATATGCAAAGAAATATTATGGGCTATTTTTTTTTGTCATTACCCAGACATTTGTATTAACTTCACTTTACAGATGAAGTAATGGGGGCATAAAGGCATCATTCAATCTGCTGAAGGTCACAAAAGCAAAACCAGTCTTCAAGGTGGGTCTAAGGATATGGAAACCTTTGCTTTAAATTACTTCACCATCCTTGCATCCATTTACAGACACAAGGGCCATTCCCTATACTGACTGACACATTCCTCCTTAAGTTATACTTCACATGTTATAGGCAGAAACACAATTAATTTCAGGTTTGAATGAGAAGATATTTTAAAATTATATTGGAGAGCTAACTTAGTGTATCAGAACAATAACCAGTGCATATAACAGATTTTCAATGTCATATACTGAAGTTCCTCTACTAGTTCAAGGACTAATTTTATACTGTTAGATTTTCTTTCCAGACCAAAGGGAAAACTCACCTCTGCACATATATTCAAGTAGTTGAAGACAGTGACAATCAAATCAGATTGTTCATTTTGAACTAATGAAAAAGGTACAGTAGTTTCAATAAAAAAAGGCTGAAAGACTTCCAGATCTGCTGTTGATGAAATGCCAAAGCCAGCATCACCATTCACACAGAAGCCATTTGTCTCCCATTTGGTTATAGTATCAGGAATGCGGAATGAAATACTCGCTGAACCTGAGGAGCTATAAGGAAAGATTACTGGCAATATTGCTGCACCTCTCTACATCAAAACCTGTATTTCTCCAGAGGAAAGAAGAATAAAGAAAAAATATTAACTGCACATTAAAAATTAATTATAGGCATAGTCCAAAAAACATTCTACATCCCACTTTGGCAAGTAGCAGTTAGAGTCTTAACAACTTGATAGATGTTATTTAAGGTACAACTATTGATCTCTCCCTGCACAAAACAAAAAAACAGGAAAGAAAAGAAACATGGAAAAAATTAGTGCAAAGGACCTTGTGAATCTCAGCTGCCACAACCCTAAGAATTAGATGGCACCACACAACCAATAAATGCTTTAAAAGGGATCACAATAGGAAGTACCGGGTACATTGTGAGAAAAATGTGGAACAAAACTCAAAACCACCAGGCTTACTGACCTGATAGAGACTAAGAGACTAACTGAACCCCTAAAACTTTGCACACCCTTAAAATCTGAAGTGAACCTTCCGCTGTAATTCAATTTTAAGCCAAATAATAAACCGTTGTAAGGGAAACAATAACATCAGATAGGAAAGCGTTCTTTAGAAGAATCTACCATAAGAGATCAAAAGGGAATATTTGCCCAGAAATAAAGCTCAGAAAGTGGCAAGGGGATGAGTGAAAATGATAAACACAAGGTGGAACTGAGTAGAGTGCTGCTACAATATGAAGCTTGTAATCAATGTCACAAACCAGAATGTATATAAATTGTTAAGTGAAAATTCACTTTGTTCTGTAATTATCTACTCAAATCACAATAAAAAGTTAAGAAAAAAGATGTGTGTCTGACTCATGAACCATAATACTTTCAGTTTCTTCATATACACATGAAAGTTAAATAATGAATAAGGAAGACCAAAGAAGAATTGTGATGTTGGTAGAGAATATTGACAGTCTCATTACCTGGTAAAAGAACCATCAAATCTCTCTTGTTATTGTTCTGTGCTATCGAATCACCTGTGACTCATGGTGGCCCTACATACAAGAACTCTGAACCCTGCCTTATCTCAAGCTGTCTCACTGACTCCAACACACCTATTCCCATTAGCCCAGTTACTGTGTCAATACATCTCATCTTGAGTTTTCCTCGCCTGTGTTATTTCTATACCCTTCCAAGCATGATGTACTTCTCTAAGGACTGGTCCATCATGGCCACATACCCAAAAGATGTGAGATGGAGCTTCAAAATCCTTGCCTACAAGGAGAAAGTTGGTTTCACCCTCTCCAAGACAGACCTATTTGTTCTCTTGGTGGTGCATGGTATGTTCAATACTCTTCTCTAGCACCAAAACTCAAAGGCATTGATTCTTCTGTCATCTTTAGTCATTGTTTAGCTCTAGATGCTTAGTTAGTAGTTGTGAAAACTATGGACTTGATGATCAGGCACTCCTTAGCTCCTAGACTGACATCATTACTCTTTAGGACTTTCGAGAAGTCCCTTAAAGTAGACTTCCCCAATGCAACATATATTTTAATTTTCTGACTGCTTGTGCCAAGAATGTGGAGCCAAGCAAGCTGAAATTAACAACCTTAATCTCTTCTCCATCTGTCATGGTGCTACCAATTAGTCCACTGGTGATAAGCTATGTCTACCTGATGCTGAGCTTCTGTACTTCTAGGATAGATGGTCTCACATACTCTGGGATTGCTATCATGAGGGGCAAATCTCTGGAGAGGGCCATCACACTTGGATAAGTGGAGGTTTGGCTTAGAAGAAGAAAACCATCAATGAGATGGATTATCACAGTGTCTACAACAATGAGTTTAACAACAACAGAGATTATTAGAATGGCTTACAATTGAGCAAGGGTTTGTTTTGATATACACAAGGTTGGGTATAAGTCTACATGAACTTAATAATATCTAGCAACAAGTATAAGCAGGACATTAGATAAAAGCCTTGATAGAAAGATGTATATAAAATCTTGATTTTTCTGGACCATTGAGTCAGAACCAACTCATAGCTGACCATCAGCAGATTTTCAGAGGCAATAAATCACAAAGGAGGTGATTGGTCATTTTTCTTCTGTGGAACAACTAGTGGTTTTGAACTATGTACCTCTGAGTTAGCAGCACAATTCTGTGTCACTACTAAACAGAGATAAAACATTTTTTAAAAAAATTAAGATAGTTAGCACCTATTTAAATAAAAGTTATAGATGAGAAATAGCTAATAAAAAGATAGAGAAAAAGTATAAAATCCAAAGTGATATCAGTATATACATAAACAATTGGTATTAAAGAGCAAGGTCACCTAAAATTATTAATTGAGACCCTTATTTAATAGGAAAGAGCTGTTTTTCTAAAGCCAAATCTATTTTTTTGCTTTTAGCATGGATTTTTCTTCAAAACTCTAGCCTGTCATTTCTGTAAATTTTACTGTGTTTTGCTAAAATCAATAGATAAGTAATTAAGAGAAAATAATGACAGAACTTTAACTGCCCTTAACAGAATGATGAGGTCAATATGCATTAATAGAAGCAAAATGTCAAGAAGTAATATCATTTAGGAAGAATAAGTAAAGAGGTAAACTATTGTTTTCAGAAAGAACATGATCTTAACCAAATAAACCACAGAATATAAACCATTTGAGAAGAATATGTCAATAATTTGCTTCTGGACTGAATATAATAATGAATAAACCCCCAAACCTTACTACTATCAAGATGATTTTGACTTATAGTGACCCTGGAATAGCAGAGTAGAACTATCTTACATGGTTTCCAAGGCTATAAATCTATACAGAGCCTTATCTTTCTTCCCCATTGCAGCTGGTAGGTTCAAACTACCAACCTTTTGGCTAGCAACCAAATGCCTTAACCACAGCAACATCAGAATTCTTTGAAATGCTGCCATCGAGTTGATTCTTACTCTTCTCTGATACACTAGAGCTCATTGCTGAAGTCACCCTGTCAATCTATCTCATTGAATCTTCTTCTCTATTGATAACCCTCTATCTTTCCAAGTATGATGTCCTTTTGCAAGGAAGAGAAGCAAATCAAAACAACATTGAGGTCTCATCTAGAGGATATTATGGCAAGTGAAGTAAGTCAGTCATAAAAGAACAAATATTGTTTAAGATGACTATTATAAAAAGCTAAGTAAAAGGTTGTTGTTGTTGATAGCAGTCAAGAATGACTCATAGTGACCCTAAGAACAAAAGAATTGAAGTCTTTCTGTCTCTATCTTGTTTCTCAAAGTTCATAGAGTTTACAAAGACATTTTATTTAGGAAGTGGATCCTACTTCTGAAAGGTTTAAACAAATATAAAAATCAGTAAATAGCTGCACTGCAATCCCAGAAGTGAGAAGTTAGAATGCACTAGATGCTGTTCTAGAGAAGGAGGGATAATATCCTCCTGTACCAATCAGATCTGATTTTGATGGTATACACACACACACACCCAATAAATAGATAATAGGTACATATTAAGTTGAATGAAAGAGAAGGCATTATCCAGTAATGTGATAATCAGCACAGTATATCACTAAAGAAATGGAAGACACAGCATGGTAAAGGATTCATAGAAATCAGAATTATAGGAAGCAGGAGAAGTACAATTCCATTTTGAGTATTAAAAATAATGTAATTTAAAACCATGTATAAATATTCTAATGAAAAATTAATTTGCTTTGTAAGCCTTCACATAAATCAAAATAATACAATTTAAAGAGAAAAATGAGAAAATAACTAAATCCAGCTGGCTCAACACCTCCCTGATTAGGTGGCTGACCCTGACATTTCAAAGGACTAAACTGACCTTCTGTAATGACAATTATTAATCTCCTTCTTTCCCTTTGTTTCTTCAGGTATAAAACCCTTAAACTTCATAAATACAGTTATAAAAACATTAAACTTCAAGAGGACAGTGAAATAGTGTATTTCTAGCATCTTCAACTCTTGTGTTTTCTTATGTGACAAATTTTTGCTTCATTTCTATTCTTCAAGAGAAGAACTCTTTGCCTTGACTTTGAGTTGGCTCTGTGGCTTGTACTCCAACCCTCTATGTATTTTACAGAGATGGTGCCACTTTATTTGTCCAAGACTAAAGGAAATAAAAACAAGAATAAAATAGAAATACACACATAGGGGAAAAAATTAAAGGCTTACTTGGTACTCACGAGATCCCATATCCATGTCTCTGGGAAGTTTCTTCGTACTGTTTCTATTATGGCTTGTTCTACATATACGGAATTATCCACGAAGTTCTTACTAACTAAAAGAAAAGTGGAAAAATATTTAGTGAGGATAATACTATGTGACTCAGTTATACTCATGTGGCCTTTAACGACCCATGCTTAGTATGAATTGATATTAAACAATATAAGCATTTACCAGTGGGCTTCATTGCCATAAATCCTGGACAATATAGATTGACACAGTGAATGTGGCAGTGGAGTAACATGTGTTAGAGAGGACAAGGCTGCCTTAAGATAGGGCAAAGTTCAGAGCCATTTTTCATAGGATTGCTATGATTCTTTGAGTCCTAACAGGTACATAATCACCTAGTTATCAGCATTTCAATGCTCACATCCCTCCAGCTATAAAATAAAAGCAAATAAGAAAAAAAAATATTCAGCCTACATTGTTTCTTCACAGTTAAATTTAGAAAAAACAATGTCTATTTACCTCACCTGACACTCTTGTGTCTATCAAAATGCAGTCTGGCGTCTACCAATTCATTATGCTAGTATTACTTTTCTTTTACCCATCTGTTAGTTTGTTATACTGTAGTGAGTTGTATGGTGATATGATGCTGGAAGGCTACATCTCCAGTATTTAAAATTTCAGCAGGGTCCATCTATGGTAGACAAATTCTAATGGAATTTACAGATTAAGTCTAGAAAAAAGGGCCTAAAATGTACTTCCAAATCATCCAATAAAAACTTTATGGGTATGATCATTAACCAATTTAGTGCTCTGAGATGACCCTCCTAGGTTGAGCATGTAAGCATGTTGACAATTAGAAGAACCATGCAAAACTAGCAGCATTTTCTTCCATTGTATATGTTGTGGGAGAAAAATGAGAAACCTCTTCTCATGTGAATTGTTGCCTCTGAAAATTCAGTAAAGCCTCAGCTATGAGTCAGTTTTGACTAGATGATGCATATCAATAACAATATATATGACTGACATAAGTCAGAGCCAATTTAACAGGAACTAATAACAACAACAATATTAACATTGCTGAAGTTTCCAGTGGTATTCGTATTGTTAATTCTTATAAACATATTCTTTCATTTGCTTGGCTTCTAGGATACATATGATATTACTATTCACTGTTTCTTTTCCAAAACAATCACTTTTGTTGACTTCTATAATATTATATCCTCTAACCTTTTTTTTTTTTTACCCTCTGTTACTTCTTAATTTCCTCATTTTTTACTTGCTCTCAAGTGCTTAGATTTAGGTCTTTTCTTTTACTAAGAAGCTCTTGGTGTCACTGCTAATGGAAAGGTCAGCTGTAGTCTGAATCTACCAGTAACAACCTGAGGAAATGTGGGGAGTTTCCCCATAAAGATTGGCAGCTTCAGAAACTCGATAGAGGGTCATTGTGAGTCTGAATCAATTTAATGGCAGTAGGTCCCACTTTGTTGTCTCTCCATCAATACATGGCTTCAATTAGAATTTATGCTGATGTCTCCTGAATCTGTGCCTTCCATCTAGATCCCTCTCTTGTGCCCCAGACTTGTGAATCCAACACCATGGCGTACATTTATTTTTTAATATTTTACTAACATTCCAAATGTAACTGTTCCAAAAGTAGACTCATAAGATCTCCCTCCTTTCTCCTTTCTGGTATTTCTAATCTCTATAAGTGTTACCAAACAAAAGCCATTCACGTACTCAAGTCAGAAACCAACAATTATCAAAAATCAAAACTTGTCCTTATGAATAAAGTAAAAGCCTTCACTTTCTGTAACTAAGCAATAAACAAATATAGTTTGCAATAATTTGAAAACAGTTCTCAAATCTACCTATATTACAACTTCTACATTGTCCTTTTTCCCCCTAGTAATAACCTAAGCCATTGTTGTCAACTAGTTTACTTATATTTTCAACATTTCATTCTTCCAGTCTTAAAACAGCCCCAGTCTCAGCCCTGTTTTTCTCATAGCAGCCAGAAGTGTCCATTTAAAACACATTATAGATGATATGCTAAAAACTTATCATCTAGCAGGTTTTCAGATGCTATAAATTCCATGGGAGGAGATTGTCCATCTTTCTTCCTTGAAGTAGCTGGTTGTAGGATAAATAGATAATTAAGTAGATAGAGAGATAGATAGAGAGAGGGAGATTAGATAGATAGATGTTGTTGTTGTTGTTATGTGCTATTGAGTCGCCTGCGACTCATAGCTACCCTAAGTACAACAGCCCTAAACTCT